TGGAGGGGGCGGGGCCTGCGCGGCTATAAAAGTGGCCTTCGGCGGACCGCCGCGCTCCTGGTTAAGCCCTGTGCGCTCCCCTCCGGTATCCGCTGCGGCCCGCCGCTGCCTCCTGCGCCCCCGCTCCGGTCCGTGGTGCAGCCGGACCAGCACCATGTCGCTGTCGCGCTCGGAGGAGATGCACCGACTCACGGAAAATGTCTACAAGGTGAGCCCTGCGCCTCCCGCGTGCTCTGGCCCGACCTGGCGGACCCTGGCCCCCGAGGGTCTTTCCGGTGTGGCCGCAGGGACCCGGCGGCCGCGGGTCGGTCACAGGTGTGCGCGGGCGCCCCCGCCCCGCCGGCCCGCGCTGCCCCCGCGCGCCCCTCCGCGCGCCTGGGACGGAGGAGTGGCGAGGGGCGCGGGCCCTGGGCTGCGGCGGCCGGGGGCGGCCCGGGTCTGGGGGCTCCAGGGTCCGGGGCCGCGGCTGCGCGTCGCCCGGGGTCGGCGTGGTGGGGCCTCCGGGCGCGGTTACGCAAGCCTTTGGGCACTTTTTCTCAACAGGCTTTTCCTCTCCACAACTCCGTCCGGGCACTAATGAACGTGGCCCAGGTGGGAGGTCGCGCGGGCAGGTTGGATGGGTGGACGGATAATCCGTCATCTTATGTAACTGCGGAGGAAGAAGACTAAGTGTGTAGGAGGCTGGCGCGCCTGCCTCTGCTCTGATGTGTGTGAAGAGTCGGATTTGGATTCGCATCCTCCTCTGGAGTCACCCGGAAGCCCCCCGGGCGGGCCTCCCCGTCACTCGTGTGCCTTGTATACGCGTTAACAGGCCTGGGGCTTCCGTGGCTTCAGCCTCCATTTCCGTGGTGTAGACCCGTACCCCAAGGAGAGAGACCCGGACGCCGGGTGGCTCAAGGCCCACTGCAGTTGCAGACGCCTTTTCGCAGGAGAGATTGTGCCCTGGGCGGTACGCGCGCTCTTCTGACAAAGCTAGGCTTTATTTCGAAACTGTCTGAAGGTTAAGTGGTGGGCTGGGAGGACCGGGTAGTTGATATTTACATGGCAGCTGCCGGCTCATGGCAGCCAAGTGGAATTGCAATGCACTGGCAGAGCAACAGTTTCTAATTGTATTGAACAACTATGGTTTCGTAGCAAGTGGCCTGTGAAGCCTCACCGGGCTCTGGACAGCAGAGGGAGGCTTTGGGGGCCGCCCCTTTGCTTTTAGCTGAAGCCCAGTGGGCAGACGGCGCTCCAGCCCAGCTTCAGTCAAGGTTCCAAAGTTGCAGCGGGGTCGCCTGGAAGAATCCTGAAGCCGGGTGGGGGTTGGCTAGGTCAGGGTGAAGCCATGTTAGAGCTGCAGGAGTCAGGCTGCGGGGAAGGCGACCTGGAAAGGAGCAGCCTGGGGATGTTACATGTGGTGTCATGTAGAACCTGTGGCACACGTTTCTGGCCGTGTTGCTCTGCAAATGCTGTCAGAGGAGGTTTATTCAATTATTAGTCATTAGTTCCATCAGGATTTGCTCATTGTTGCAGAGGTGGAGAGAAGTGCTGGGCAGAGCGTTTTTTCCCAGTTCCTCTGCTTCACCACTGAAAGCACTGAACAGGAACTTCCATGGCGAGCGTTACGAGGGGCACAGGGCATGGCTGTGCCCTGGGGACTCCCGGGACTGTCTTGATGAGACATATGACCCGTGGGCAGTCAGGCGTGTAGCTACAGCTGAGCGGCTGTTGATGGGACTGTGATTTGTCTGGAGTCTGGAGTGAAATCTGTCAGCAGGATGGTGGCAAAAAATGATTAGGATAGAGTGTTTGGGGACTTGGAGCCCCTCTGGGAGCCGGCTGGAGGGTTTGGGGCGCACATTCAACAGGCAAGTCTGTGGATTGAGATCCACGGGTCTGTTGGTTCATGAGCTCCTGTGGGAAGGTGTGGCGGTGAGACCTGGCATTTGTGGGGTCCGACATGTCATGCGTGCGTGTGGGCCGGGCTGTACCTCTGTACCTGCTCTGCGGGCAGGTTGGGGTTGTAGCTGCTGCTTTTCCTGGCAGCCTTTGAGTGCGTGCCCTGGTACCTTTTGTTTTGTCACCGGGGAGCGCAAAGTTCCTCAGCAGAGTCAGTACCGGTCAGGCAGCTTTGGCATGCTGGCCGGGCAGAAACCAGCCAGAACACAGCCAGAGCCACCTGTGTGCGGCTCTGGGCCGGTCCGGCCGGTCCCCTGGCCTGTCCAGGGACGGCACTGCTTCTGTGCCTGGGTTGGCGGCTTGTGGAAGAGCGGCCGGGATGTGGCCCTGCTTAGCGTCTCCCTGAGCTGCAGCTCAGCTGTTTGCTTTGGCCCCCGCATCACCTCGACTGCAATTCTCAGTGGTGTTTGCCTTGGCAAAGAAGAGAGAGGCAGGGACACTCGTCCTTGGCCTTGTTGATTAAAAATGCGAGAATAAAAGGTACAGTTTTGATTCTCCTCCCTGGAAGAATCTGTAGTGCGCACATTGACATCTTTCCTTGTGGCCCAGTGCCCGTGGGATCTGTGTCCTCGGGGAATTTCATGGAAGGTGAAGGGGAGAGGAACAGAGTGACTTCCCAGAGTCCACTGAGAACTCTCCCTCAGACTGTGATCCTGGGCTGAACCCTTCAGGAGATGGGGTGCAGACAGCAGACCCTGGCTGTCAAGGCAGCCCTGGGTAATTACCTGGCAGCCAGGGACAGAGTGTGGGGGGTGGGCACCTGCTGCTCAGAGTGAAGCCCAAACTGTAGCCCCCTTGGGAGAGACCTCTGATGTCCCCGAGTGCTGAAAGGGCCTCTGAGCAGCTGGCCTCAGCTCCTGGTGGTTCCTGGGACTGACTGTCAGGTTGCTGTTTTTCTCATGGTCCCACATCCCAGGAGAAGCCCTGGCTCCCGAGTGACCTTTGAGGGTGGCAGCTCCGGCATATCCTCAAGGAATATGGTGCCATGGACCTCAGCCTGCCCTGAGGGTGTGGCAGGTGGGACACAGGCTAGGGCGAGGAGGATGTCCCTAGGAAGGCACCAGGCGTGGCCATTCACTGTGTCGTGGCCCTTGGGCCTTGGTCAACCTGGCCAGACTGGTCCCCAGAGGCTGTCTGGTCATCCTCACTCTGCAGCTGTTGTGGGAGAAGCTGGCCCAGCCTTGGTGCTGCTGCCCTGCGAAGGTTGCATGTGGCAGGTGCTCTGCAGCCAGGGGTGTCGCGTCTGCTACCTCTGGGGCTACTGGTGAGGGTTGGTGTAAGGTGATGGCGGAAGGAGCCCACCTGGGTAGGTGACAGCTCACTGCTGGCTTTTCTGATTAAGGCCTGGCTGCCCAGCCCTGCCCACTACCCTCCGCCTCGGCCCACCCACTCCTCCAGGTGGGTGTTTGGGGGAACGGTGGGAAGCATGGGGCCCCCAATTCCCCTGCCACTCACCTGAGACCCCCTTCATCCTCACCCATGCTGGGCAGTCACGTCAAACTGTTGGCAGCCATCAGAAGCCTGGTGTTTGGAGTGGACCGAGCTCAGTGGGCCCCCGGTTGGAGATGAAGTGAACTCTGATAGACTTCTGCTGGGAGGAGCCAGCCTGGTGCCTGCCCTGCTGTGTCCAGCTCTGTGTGTGCATGTGCACGAGTGTGTGTGTGTGGTGCTGTGTTTGCTTTGCTTTAGAGGTATTTCCAGAGGTGCTCCATTGGGGCAGCGTTTTCTGATGAGAAGGCGGGGCCTGCTGTCCCCCGTCTCCTAAGGGACTGTCTGCTGCATGGGGCCACCCTTCCCCAGTGCGTGTTCCAGCAGCAGTGCGTCTCCCAGCCCCGCTGGAGTAGCCAGGGCAGCAAAGGACGGCTCCCCTGCTGTGCTGACCTCTGAGCTGACCGGTTTTAGTACCTCCTGTGCCCAGGTCATGTCCCAGAGAGCCCTGGCTTGCGTGGTGGCAGGTGCCGTCTTTTCCAGTGGGTCTGACGGCAGCTGGAGCACAGGGCCGGGGAGCAGTGGTTCTACGGGGCTCTGCTGGGTCGTGAGGGTCTTGCCCTGAGCGCGTGTCTTGTGCTGCGGAGGTCGGTTGGCTCGTGGGACTGATCTGTGTGCATTTGAGGCTCATGGCAGAATGACGTCCAGTGCTGGCCAAGGGCTCGTGGGGCACAGTCAGTGGGGAGAGGCGCGGGCTTGTTGCCGCCTTGTTTTGGACCGAAGCGCCGTGAGGGCCAGCACGGTCCCCCACCCCAGCATGGGCATTGCTGTCTGGGCTGCCCTGGACAGGCCATCTTCAGGGGAGGACTGGCCACTGAGCTGGAGGGCCTTATCCCCTTCTCCCCAGCAGGGAAACGGGCCAGCAGGGAGCCTGAGGCCCAGCTGGCACTCCCCCTCAGTTTGTGGGTCTGGGTTCTGCCCCGAGATGTCACCACAAGACCAGGTGGGTGGCAGGCAGGGCTGGCCTTGCCGTTCACTCGTCCCCACTCAGCTTCAAGTGGCGCCCGGGATGGACGTTGCTTGTACTGTCATCCTCGGGTGGACATGCCTGAGCAGCTATCTGTCTGGGGGTGCCCTGGGTTGCTGGTCCAGCTGGCTGCTGTCATCTTCCCTAGGAGCTGGGCCCGCAAGGCCTTCCCAGCCATCCCGCCCAGGCGGTTTTCCTTGAGGCCTCAGGATGGGGGGGCTGTCATGATGGTGCAGGCCTGTGCCCCCTGGACACACTGCGCTGGGGTGCCCATGGTGCGGCTGTCAGTGCTGCACTGCCATCCACTGCCCACGGCCATAGTAATTGCCAACGGGCATGGACTGAGCGGGCACCTTTCTCGAGCTGACTCCGCTCCCCAGCTACACGGCTGCGAGCTGACTCAAGGGGCCCAGCCACAGGGCACAGGGAAGGGCATGTGCCATGTCCCCACTGGGCATCCAGCAGCTCCTGCCAGCGGGCCTGGGAGGAGGTTGGTGCCCAGGCTGTCTTAATGGAGAAAACCCTCCTGTCCCCGTGTGACTGTTCCTGAGTACCCAGGTGGGGTGACTCAGGACCCGCGTGGCTCCCTGAGGGTGGAGACCCCCCCATACACCTGGAACTGTGACCGCATGTGAGTGTCAGCGCTTGGGAGTGGGTGAGTCCCGTTTCTGGTTCTGGGGCGCCCGCGTAGGCATTGCTGTCAGCACCTCTGCTGTGGGTCTGCTGTCTGAGCTGTGTGCTGTAAGAGCAATGTCCCAGGACCCCAGTGGGTAAAGACCGTGGCAGGCTCACGTCCCCGAGCAGACAGAGTC